GCCTGACTGTTGGCTTCTTCTTCAGGACTTGCCCAAAAGCCATGGTCGGGTATCCTGCTCCTCTCCCAGGTGGGAAAATGGAGCTGGCAGCGAAGCCACTGAAGGCTGTGAAGGACGAGGGGAGGCAGTGTTTGCTCTGGGTCCCGCCAGAGCAGCCGGCCGTGGGCACCTGGGCTCCCCAAGGTGCCCCAGGACAGCATGGCCCGCCCAGCCGGTGGCCCTGGAGGCCACCAACCTGGCACTTGGCAGCACAGAGCGGATGGTCCCCATCACACTGTGTGCCCCGTTGCATCATCATCCTCAAGCTGAGGGTTTTATTGTCCCCGAGCCTGGCTTTCCCCCACACCGTGAAGGAACATGTCCCCGACATGGTGCTTGACAGTCCCCCCTCTCCTTTGAACGTGTTGACACGCATCCTGCGGGTGAGCAAAGGGATCAGTGTCTTCCCCCCCCCCGCCCCGGTAGTGGCAGGCAGGTGCTGGATGTTGACTTACTCTGCCTCTTGATGAATTTCCCCCTCTCTGGCATCTCTTCGCCGCGTCGGGCATGCTCGCCCTCGGCTCCCCAGCGTCGCGCCTGCGGAGGGAAGCCACAGTGGCTGGAAACGCCTGGCTCCTCAAGCACGATAATTGAATGTGACAGGAACACACTAACTAGGAGACCTCACTGCCTCCAGCTGATTTGCATTGCAAATAGCATTTAAATATAAAGAGTGATGAGGGTTTGTTGTGTTGTTTTGATTTTTTTTTTTTTTTTTTTAATCCCCTCTTTACAGGGAAGCTGGATGCAAAGATCCATCAGGGAGCAAAGAAGGGGTTAATGAAGCAGAAAGCGATGGGGTGAGCCGTGGGGGAGCAGCACCTCGTTCCCACGCAGCACCCGACTGCCGCCGAAGGGGTGCCGGGATGGTCCTCGACTCTGGAGAGCAAGTGCAAGACAGATCCCAGAGTGCTTTTAGGTATTGCTTTAGCCATTGTATTCCAAAAGCATTAAAAGAGACACGTTTCCACTGGGCTCTCGCCCAGCAGCCCTCTTCTTCCTGGGAGGTCGCGTGCTGCAGACAGGGGTGGGTGGGAGATGGAGCTTGACGGGATGGGATTCAGCCAAAGAGCTGGCATCTCCACATCTCCCGTGAGCACCGGATCCCAGGACGGGCGAGGGGAGCTTGCAGCAGCGGCCAGCCCAGCTCGGAGGTAGCTCCATCCTCCCCAAAATGTGTCTTGTGCTCTTTTGGATGGATCAGACACATCGCGGCGCCGGCCTCGCAGAGAAGGGTGAGAAGCTGGGGGGCTGAAGAGAAGGGTTCCCAACAGCTGAAGAGCCTGAGCCCTGCTGCGTGTGTGCCGAGGAAAGCAGGGGGCTCGGGGTGAGAGTGGGCTCTGTTCCTGCTCCGAGGCTTTCTGCTCACGGGAGCGCACCCTTACAGCTCCCGGCACCGCCGGGCAGCACCGCGCCTCCCCGCCCTCTCTCCTGATTTGTATTAAAGCAGCAGCCACCACCCTGCAAAAGCTGACCCCCCACTCCAGCAGCTGTGTGCGTGAGTTCAAAACCCGCTCTGCCTTATGAATAAGATGAATTTCTCCTTTTTCTTTAATCCTTCATATTCAGCGTCTCCCCGCGTTGCCGTGTCTCTCCTCATTACACATTCGTGTTCACTGGGCTGTGAGCCTTCCGTGCCGTGTTGCTCCAGGCTCTGCCTTGTCGTGGTCTTACGTGCTCCTCCTCATTCCCTGGAGCCCAACCTGCTCCAGAGGGAGCAGAGCAACCCCTGAGCACCACCGGCATCCCTCCTCCTCCTCCTCTTCCTCCTCCTCCCTGCGGCCGCAGCGGGCAGCAGAGCAGGGCTGCCAGCTCAGCTGCTTGGCCTGGTCAGTGGTTGCAGGTTGTCCCAGCCCTCTGCCATAGTTCCTGTCTCTACTCCATCAGAGAGGAGGAGGAGGAGGAGGGTGAAAAGCCTTTGTGCCAGCTGCCTGCACCCCTTGAAACTCGGCTGCTGGATGCTGCAGTGCTGGAAATCATCCCGCTAGCGCTGCCGTTTGCCCCGGGAGTTGTCTACTGGCTCCTTTTGCTGCCCGTGGGATCTCTGAGGTGCTGGAGATGGATTCAACGCCCACCCCTGTCGTTCCTCATTTGGGGAAAACCCTTGCGGGTGTTTCAGCTCTGAGCTGCTCGGGCTTGGCATGAAGATGCTGGCATGGGAGCTGCGGTTCAGCGTGGCAGAGGGAGACGGGCTTCTGCTGCTTCCTCCCTCCTCTGGCTGCATCCCGCCACCCGCCAGCTTGTCCCTCGTGTCCCACCCGTAGGGTCCCAATCAGCTGTGCTGGGACTCCTGGTGACTTCCCTGCACCTTTTTCTCATACCGTGGAGGTCCTTCTCTCTAGGGTGGGTGTGCCTCGAGAGCGAGGGGAGATGTCTGCAGTGCCCACGGGAGCAGAGCTGGAAAGGGTGGGCGGCGTCCTGGGGTCGTGGTGCCACGGGGAGGACGGGGGGTAGGAAAGGACTTTGGCCGTGGTGTCTGGGTGGGAGAGGCAGGACATGGAGGCTGCTCTGCCCCCGCTGCCTGCAGCTCCCTGGAGCACCTCTCCTGGAGGCGGAAAGGGGTCGAGTCTGGAGCAGCCGGCCCCAAGGCAGCGCTTGTGGGACCAAGGTGGGGGAGATGCTCTTCCGGGCAGAAGGTGGGTGCCCGGCGAAGGAGCATCTCGTTACGTGGCAGACAGCGTCTTTCACTGTCACTGGTGTCTCTGCTGCTCTGCCCTACACCTCACCGGCGTGGGCTGGGATGAGCGGGATGCTTGGGACACCAGGGGGGATGTGCTCAGCAGCCCCAGGGTTTCCAGCTCCTGCCCCTTATCCCAGGGGCGCCGTGTTGCCAGTCGAGGCTGGGAGAGAGTGGGATCTTGTACCACCCCCACGGGACACGGGGATGGCGGGGCTCGTGTCCTGCCCCTCACACCTAACGCCCATCAAATCCCGATCTCGAGGCACTGCTTCCCAGGATGGGGTGCCCATCCCCTACTTGAGCCGGGTTTTTAACACGAGCCTGTGATTTGGCTTCATATGAAACCAGATCCGCCTCCGTGAGGGTGGTAGTTGCTTTGTCACCTCCCTGTTCTTTGTACGGCTCGCAGCTCACATCTGCGTCACATGAAGTTTCCATCCCCAAGGATTTCACCTCCTCCACTGTCGTCGGTAAAATCCATCAAGTCCCGTGGGGCTGGTGGCTCCGGCACTGAGGTTCCAGTGGCCCCAGGCAGGCCGGGTCGTGGGCACCGGCCCGTGGTCACGGCTAAAAGTGCCGTTGGAGGGATGCCGAGATCGTTTACAATGAAGCCACGTTGCCCAGCAGTGGTTTTATTTTCCTCCTGTATTAATGACATCATTTACGGTTTTGCCAGGGAACAGGCAGACTGATGTGCTCACCTATCCCTGGTTGGTTCTGTGTTCCCGGCAGAAGCTGATTTTCCCACCCTTGGGAGCATCATTCCTGGACTGGAATGTGCTGAAAATCAACACCAAATGCCCAGAATACTCTTTACCCAACCCTTTCAAAGATTTCGGTAAACGCTGACCTGAATTTGTTAATATAGTTTGTCCTGGGGCCCACCAGTGCTGGGTTTGTGCCACACGAGGACAGTTTCTCCTCTTTATAAGGAAGAATTTCTCCGTCTCTTTCAGGCTAACTGAACGCTTTTCTCATCCCTCTTTTCCTACTGCTTTAAACCTCTTCTGCCTCCGCTCCCACCTGCCCCAGCCCCAAAAGCCAGAGAAACAGGGTGATGGCACCCAAACCCAACCCTTCACAGCATCCCACCTCCTTTGGAAGGGGTTTGGGTGTCGCATTGTCCCTGTCCGGGGGTGAAAAACATCGGAAGAAATTGGAGCCTCCTTCAGAGTCCTCCTGAAGCCACGCTGGAGGAGGAGACCCGCCGTCCCCAGGGACGGTGGCACCACTCCGGGCTGGGCCACCCCACGCCAGAGCCTGGGTGGGTGGGTGGAGGTGGTGGTCCCCGCTCCATCCCCTTCGCCGCAGGATCGTGTCCCGGCTCCGAGCTCGGCGCTGCCGGGGTGCCAGCTTGGATCGTGCGCCCCATCTTCCCTTGGCACGGCTTGCTGCGCCCGTTCGCCTTGCTCAGGGCCAGCTGCTCCCGCGCTGGACTGGTTTTGGGGTGTCCTGGGGCCACGGCTGGGACACCCCCCACTGAGACGAGCCAAAATTTCCTTGTCGACCAGTGTGGGGCCAGCGTCAAGGATTTACGGTCTGGAAAGGAGGGTTTGGGGAATGTGCCACCACCTGGGAATCCGGGTGCTTTTAGGAAGGAAGATGCTCCTTCCATCCAGCGCTGGAAACCTGTTCGGGTAGGAAAAATGACTGCGTGGGGCATAGTGTTGTGGGGGGTTTTGGGGTGCGTGTGGGTCCCCCAGGGCGCATCCTGGGTGGTGAACCCCTCCCGGCAGGTCTATCTGAGCGGTACGCTGCCCCAAAAGAGCCCGAGCGCTTTCGGGCCAGCTCAGGGAGCTGAACCGCCAGCCGGTGCCCTGGGTAGTGCCGGGCCGGGGGGCTCGCACGGCCCCCCGCGGCGTGTAAAACACCCCCAAAAAGGCTCTTTCCCCGCTCTCCGAGGTGGCACCGCGGAGGCTCCGGCTCCTCAGGGCGGGGGAAAGACTCCGCTCCGGGCTTTTCCCGCTGCTCCTGATCGTGATCCGTTCTCCGCGTTTTCCCGGCCGCGGCTTTGTGCGGGTGGCACCGCCTTTTCCGCCGGGCCGGGGGCGGTGCTTTCCCGCCCTCCCGCTCCCGATTCCGCTCTCCGGGTTTCGCGCGGCGCCCGCGGCACCCGGCTCCGGTTGCCGGTGGGGTTCCGGCTCCGGGCGGCCGAGTGTCCCCCCCTGCCCCGAGCCGAGCGGAGCCGAGCGGCGCCGAGCCGAACCGAGCGGAGCCGAGCGGCGCCGAGCGGAGCCGAGCGCCCGCCCCGCCCCGGCCCGCCCCGCCCCGCCCCGGCAGGCGGACACCGGCGCGGCCTGCGCGGCGCGGCGCGGCGCGGCCCACAGGCGCGGGTGGCATGGCGGCCCCGGCGGCCGGCCCCTAGCCGCCGGCGGAGCGGAGGAAGCGGCCAGGTGGCCCCATGGAGGAGACTTAGGGCCGCCCGGGACGGGAGCGGAGCCGGGTGAGTGCGGGCCCGGCGGGGTGTCTGTCGGTGTGGGGGGGAGGCGTCGGTTAGGGCTCCCTCGCGGCCGTTGGGCCCGGGCCCCCCCCCCCCCCGGTGACCGTTGGGCCCGGGTCGTGTCCCCCCCGCCGCCACCGCTGTGACCCGGGTTCCCCCCCCCCCCCCTCCGGTGACCGTTGGGACCTTCCCCCGCGGGACACCGTCCGTGTCCCCCCCCCCCCCTTCTCACCCCGCCGTGGGGGGGAACCGTCGCCGCACTCGGGGGACGTTCGTGGGTGACCGTTGGGGCAGAGGTGCGTGGCCCCCTCCTCCCCCGTGGCCGTTGGGGACTGACCCCCCCCCCCACCCCCGCCCGCGCCGTTGTCGGAGCCTGTGGGGGTTGGGTCCCCCCCACCCCCCAAGTCGTGCGTGGTCACCCCGTGGGGATCATCCTCTCCGCGGTTGTGGCACCGGGGGGGGACCCGCGGGCACCCGTGGGGCGGTTGGGCCTAAGAGTGTCGTGTGTCTCCCCCCCCCCCCCCCCCCCCCGCCGCGGGCTGTGTGACTGGGGGGGTGGTCACCGTGTGCGTGGGGTGCGGAACCCCATAAGCGGAGGGGTTGGGGGCTGGTCCCCCACGTGCCCCACCGCATCGAGTGCGTGGGAGGTGTCACGGAGCCCCCACGGCTGCGGGGTGGGGAGGCGGGGGGGGGAGGATCCCCCGTGTGTGAGGTCACCGCCGGGACAGATTTTGGGGTGAGGGTGGGGGTTGGGGAGGGGGAGACACCGATGATGCATCCGGGCCGTGGGTGTGGGGTGGTGGCAGGACGTGGGGATGCGGTTCCCGAGGGGGCAGCGGTGTCTGTGGGGCGCGGGGTCTTCTCCCTCTTGTTGTTCCCCCCCCCCCCCCCCAGCCCCCTGTTTCTGTGCAGGGAGGGTTTGGGGGGGACATGGGGAGCGGAGGGGCCCCGGGAGGGCCGGTTCCCCGTGGATGCTGCACCCCAGCCCTTTCGGGGTGCTGGTGTGGGGGGAACGTGACGCCTCGCAGGGAGTTCTCAGCACAAATCACGGAAGATTGAAATTTCCCCAACGGCGTTTAGCGAGTGCGAGTTGTCCGGGTGTGTCTGGGGACACACACACACAAACACCGAGAGCCCAGCTCCGCCAGCGCCGGGCTCCAGCCGCACTCCGGAGCGGGCCCGTGGGGCCCCTGCGTGACGGTGACCCGATGCCGCAGGACGAGCGGCCGGCCTTCGAGCCCCCCGCGCTACCGTTTTCGGAGCTTTGCTGGCGTGGGGCCGCTCCCCGGGGGGGGTGACACGGCGAGTGACAACGTGGCTGCGGCGGCCAGGCGTCCCAGAGAGGCTGCGGGTTTGTGCGGGAGGACGGCCGCTCTCCCGCCCGTTGTGTACACGGGGAAGGTCACAGGTTCAGGTCTGCTCTGCCAGACTTGGCTCCTCTCCATCTCCCAGCAGCCCTTTTTTTTTTTTTTTTTTTTTTTTCTTTCCCTTTCCTTTTTCCCCCCCTTTCTGGGAAGGCCCTTTCCCTTGAAGGAGGTGTTAGACACGCACGTTTTTTTTTTTTTTTTTTGTGGTGCACACCAAAATGTTCACAGGCCCCTTCTTCCCACCCTCCCTCCAGCAGAATTAAGGATGCTGGCATCACGGTTGGCTTTTGGGCTCCGGTGAGTGCCGGGGTGGCGCGGGTGCTCGCAGCCTTCCTCGCCTGGACATCCTCAGGAAAACCTATTTCCACGCTTTGTGCGATGACTCCAGCATCGGATTATGCTGCACATTTCTAGCTCTTTGTTGGCAGTACACGACCGCACATGCACGGCACTTGAAAAATCCAGTCAGCTTATTTTATTGATTAGCTCTTGACCAGAAATAATTTATAATTTATTATTTTGAAGCCGTTTCGGTCTTGAAACAAAAATCCTTACTCTTTTATGCCCTCGTTCATCCAGCAAGGTTTTTTTTTTTTTTTTTTTTCCCCTCTCGCTGCGGGGTAGGAAGGGAGACGTGCGCAGCACCGGGAGCGTGGCCGTCTCGGTGGTGCAAAAGGACAAGGATTTAATGTTTCACCTAAACTGGCCTTGCGCTCAGGACAAGGGCTGCGAGCCAGTTAGAGCCACCAGAGGAAATTAATTATCAAGCAAGTTGTAATGATCTGTAATTGAATATGGCCAGGATACGGGGAATTTTTTTTTTTTTTTTTTTTCCTTCCTTTTTTCAAGCTGGGCTCTTGGACTTGGTTTCCAGTGGAGGGTTTGTGTGTTTTGTGAGTCGCCATTAGGCTGCTCGTTAGCCGGGGGGCTGGTGCGTGCGCGTATGCGCACGTAGGTGTCTCTGAGCACACGTGTTATCCTATCACAGCATCCTCTGCGCGTGCCGAAAAGGGTGTTATTTTTTTTGGGGGGGGGGGGGGGAGGAGAAGCTCCTCCAAATAAGGGATGTTCATCCGTCTGTAGCCCCGTGGGGTGGGTGGCAACTGCAAAGAATCTCTCCCTCTCTGCAGTTGCAAGGTTGCAAAGTCCTCTTGTGCTCACTGCACCCGACTTGTCGGACATCGGCGGGCACGGCGTCTGCTTCTGCTGCCTCTAAAGCAACAGAATCCCTTTAAATCGTTAGGCTAGCTGAAAATGTGCTGTTTTTTGGAAGAAAGGGCTGGCAAAGTATAAAGGTGGTTGAGGGGTTCTCACGCTGTGTTGAAGCTACCTAACAGCTTGTGTATCTTTATTATGTATAATAAGAAGGAAGGACCAGAGTTTGCTCTGTCTGGTTTATTCTCTTTGAGAACTGGGCCGTGTTGAATTGAGATTTGCCTCCAGATTATATTTACAATATCTTTTTAATTGCTTAATTTGAAGAAAACCAGAAGCTGCCTCATCTTTCTAGCACTTCCACACAGGCATCCCCTACAAAACCAAAGTTGTTGTCTGTGAGTTGTGTCCACGCCGTGGCAGAGGTTGGAGACCCACGGCTGGGATCACGCTCCTGGGGCTCAGCCACGCTGGAAAGGCAGTTGGGGACCGGAGTTGTGTATCGTGCCCAATGCTGTGATTTTCTCGGTGTTTCCTGGGTGTACACTGCCTAAAAAGGGATCTTTCTCTGCTTGCTGGTGGAGGGAAGAGGAAGAGCTGGGCTGTATCGTGATCCTCTCGACCTTGAGGTGGGCTGGGAGCCGGGATGCCCCTCGCTGCCATCCCGCCGAGCCTCGCGTGGCTGAGCTCCCATTCGGATTAGTGCGTCTGGGTGCTGATGCAATACCAGTCCCAGATGTAATTCAGTAAGCCTCTTTGTCCCTTTTATCCGGAGCGTTATGTAAATAAGATGGTATTTATGGTCCCAGGTATGGTGTTGCGGGGCTGTGTGACGGCCTGCGTGCCCAGCTATGCCCTTTGAGTGTTGACGCTGCTGCTTCTGGCCGGCTTCCCCGGCTGGAGGCAGGTCCTGCCGGGGGCAGACGCTCGCAGGGAGCACATCACGTGCCGGCTCCCTGCCGAAAGGAGGTGAGGCCACAGGTGACCTTGCCAGGGGCTGGTGACGGTTCAACCGTGCTCGGTTGCTTGTACACGGTGAACGCGGCGAGCGGATCGGCTTTGGGTAGTCTGCAGGAGATGGGGTGGTTTCCCACCCAGTTCGAGGTGAGGTCCGTGTTTATCTTTGCAGGCGTGCTGCAGAATGCAGACCAATGTTTCCCCAGCCTCTGGGTTGTGAGAGTTGTAGGTCTGTTCCCAAACCTACCCCCTGTTTCTTTGCAGCTAATGGTGGTTTGTGGAGAGATTTTTTTTTTTTTTTTTTTTTTGAGAGGCACCAAAGTCCCTGAAGCACCCAGAGATGGCCTTGGGCTGTCTGCAGTTCTCCCGTGATGCCTCTTCTGACGCTTCATGGGCACAGGTCAAGCGCGTGTGGGCTCTCTGGGTATGGGGAGAGCTGGTCCCTTCCCCGTGGAGCTTGCCCGCTTATAAAGTCATAATTTGGATGCTTGTGCTGCGGTCGCAGTGGCTGGAGGGAGGATGTTGCTATTCCATGGGGGTGCCTGACTCCAGCAGGGTTTTGGGAATGTTGAGGAGCTCATCTGGGTGTGAAGGGTCTTTTATAAGATCAAGGGTAGGTAGATGAGCTGGCTCAGAGCATGCGCCTGCCCCAGGAGCTTTTCAGTGACTGTGCAGCTACTGAACTGGAGCTTTGGCCACCCCGGCAGTGGCCGGTCTGCTCCACACCCCCGTGGCGGGTTGGCTCAGATGAGGAAAGGATGCTGCTTGGTTTCAGGGAAGGGAAGAAAAGAATAGCCCACTGGCATGTGGCTTCTTTTGCCACATAATTGCATTGAAAATGTGTTTTCCTGCTAACAAGGACTGGTGCCTTGTGGTGTGACGTGTTTCAGAGGAAGGAACAAGGTTTTGGTGTGACGATCCCACAGTAGAGAAAATAGGGAATGGTTGCCCATCTGGGAAATTGCTCTGTGACTCTTGTTGCTTGTGTGATTTCTTTTTTTTGAATTTATATGATTTCTTTAAAGGAAACACCTATTTCAATTCTGGGTTTTGGTGAAAAATCAGATTTTGAGATGAAACCAAGAGGGTTGTTTTGCTTTTGCTGCAGCTGAGTGTCCTTCACATGCACAAAAATAACTGACGTAGCTGCTTAAGCGTCAGCTCAGATGTTGTGTGAGGTGTGGGGGGGTGTGTGTAGAGAAAGGGTATAAAAGGCTGCGAGTGCATTTTTGTGGATGAATAAGGATGATTTCAGGACAATCCTGATATTTTGTGTTTAAACATTAAATGCTTAACTTCTACAATTCATTTCGTTGTTTATGGAGTGAGAAAAGAAAGAAAAAGGAAATACACTGTTGTCCCTTTATGCCACTCCTTCCCCGAGCATATCGTGGGCACAGAAAGATTTTGTGGCATCGGATTTTCCCTCTGAGCTGTTCCTGGGCCTGCCCAGCCGCCCTTCTGACAGCTGGAGGGCCGATATCTTTGTACAGTGCTACATCACGTGCGACATCTCGTCTCTGC